GGCTTTTGTCATTTTGGCGAAAAAACGTTGCAAATGCCCCAGTATGGGGTCCAAATAATGCAACAAAATCCCCACCCTTGGGGACTTACATTGACGCAAATGTCCCACCCTTGGGGGACAAAATATAAGTTTTCTGAGGATTTCTGATCCAAAAAATTGAATCCAAGCTCTATCACCTATCAATATATCTGTATTTAAAATCGATTCCACAGCCAATATCAAACTGCAGAAGTAAGTCAATGTATCAACAGGATGGACAAGAAAAAAGTCTTGTGTATGCCGGTCCGCCATGATTAATTTGCGATACGCATGCTCGTGTAAACATGCGTACTAAAGTACGGCTAAATGGCGAAACAAGCGATAAATATTCGACTTTTTAGCCTCGAGCAAATTCCCCACCCCGGGGCTAACCTGCAGAAAGCAAATGCCCTAATTCTTGGGAACAAAGGCTGGAGGAATGCCCCACGTAAAACTGGGGACAAAGAACACGAAACTGATTTGAGACATTACCAATACCTTCTAACTGGGATCACCCATTATACATACACAAGAACTTGTGGTTAGAGCTTGACAACTGGACTCTGTAGCTGAGTTGGTTAGAGCACTGCACTAGAATCACAGGTTTGATTCTTGCCGGAGAGCCTATATTTGCATTTTTCGCAAGTGCTCCTAGTTAGGTTTAAAATTGTATATAATCTTCTTTTCGATCCCCAAATGCATAAAAAAATCATGATGTTGTTCATGTAGAGATAAGCCAGTTGAGCGCACATGAGGTGGGATTTTGTGGTATCGACAGTTTTGCATTTCAGATCCTGGGTTTGAGTGGCATAGAAATTAGAAAATATAAACATGAACAAAATGATATTTTTTATCATTAATAGGTGCATATAAATATAATCCTATCACTAGAGTGCAACCTGTACTATCAAAATACTTAAAAAATCAGTTTTTATATCTAATGTGTCCAAATTTAAGGTGTTGACTCTAAATCTGAATTACTTGTAATTTATGTATTAGGTTGCAGCATGGATCTGTAAAACATAAGATTCAATGGGATGTACCAATTGAGAATTTATCTTTTGATCCACTTCTGGTCACATTGGCTGAGGTATATGTTCATTCAAATACAAATGATGTACTTTAGTAGTTAGATTGAAGCTAAATGAGTATGAACTGTGTTCCAAGGACAAAATCCAGTGTTATATTATTATTAATTAGTAGTTAATTAGAAAATAGTGTGTATGTTTACTAATACATGGATGGCAATCCTGAGACCTCAGTATATGTAGTTAAAAGCCAATATGATCAATTCAGTGTTCTCAGTGAATAAATACAGCGATTTCTCAATAATTTCAGGGTTTACGAGAAACAAAGCATCCATACCACTTTCTGGCATGCCAGGGATTTCGAGAAATGTTAGAAGTATCAGATGCTGCTGGCAAAACAATACCTGTTTTGCCGAAGCTTGTTTTGCCACTACGACTAGCACTGGTAGGTCTAGTAATTGAAAAATATTGGGAACATAATCCAGATACAGTA